CCCATTTGTCATACCTTGAATATTCTCGGTATCAATACACATGTTCTGTAAAAACCTGGTATGTGTCCTTTGAGTGGCAAGCTAGCAGTTACTGCTTCCGGGTGCCCATCTTTTTTTATTGAACTCAACAGACTGTGGTGCCATAAACACCAGGTATTCCCAGCCTTCTGGTGTATCTTCCCCTGTCTGAGAAGTTTTCCATACTCTGTAGGCTCCCCTTTTCTTCCCAGTGGTTGAAATAACCCCCTGAAACTGAATCCCTAGTGTCTGAAAACCCAGGCCAAGAGTTAGGTCTCCTGCCCAGGATAGCCATAGGTGACATTTCCCATTTCAATGTTTAGGGAGGATGGAGGCCAGTTTTGGAACGGGTTAGGGCTCAGTCATGAATGCCTCTTTATACCAAATTCACTACTAGACCAACTAAATAAGTGGGCCCCCCTGATAACTCAGCTTTGAAATTTCACTTGGTTTTTAATGATCTGGCTAGGATAAGTCACACACACAGCATCACTCTCTAAATTCATTTTGTAATTAGAATCTTATAAATGTCTTGAATCATTGCAGCAGGGGGACCTGGGATAAATTGTCACATTTCAATATATTGGGCTATTTAACTAGCAGTTTAAGTATTCCTTACTTGAAGAAAACTAGAGGTATGAAAAAAATCTAGATTTCCAAACAATATCTCAGAGAATTATGTTATCTTTATGAAAGAGATTAAAGTAGGAATCCTCAAGTAGTGAGTGACTATAAGTGAATAACTTTACTGCAATGCACTTTTTTTTTTCTTCCACCCTTCAACTGGAAAGACTGTAGCTGTTCTTCTCTTACTTATACCTTTAGGAATTTGTCTGGGTAAAATAAGGAGTTCAAAACTTGGAAATGAGCTTCTACCAATTTCCTTGGAAACTTTGCCTTTTGCCTAACAGTGTGCAATTCTAAGTCATTTCCATAGTGTGTAAGAAGTTTGTTCTTGTAGTTTTAGATGGCAACTGATTTTTCCAGTTTGTGGAAAGAGGCAACAGACAGCTAACCTGGTATAATGGCACAGGCAGAAGGATTTAATTTGGGGCATAGTTTTAGCACCTGCAGATGACTGCTGGAGTGACTTAACTTTTTGCAACTCCTCCTCCCTGGCTGAGAAGTTGCAATAATATTTTTATCCCCTACTTTCCTCTTGCACTTGAGTGAGGTCCTGAGTTCTGAGCTAGAGCTGAAGCTCCTCTTAATCTCACAAGGAGGCTGGAGGCTGTGTGAGCTTCCTCTGTTCCTCCCGGGTTGAAGGTCTTGTCCTTAAGACAGGAACACAAACAAAGCCCACAGGGTTTTGTTCAAAGACTTCCAATAGGCCTTTCCAAACCCCACTGCCATTCATTGATCCCAAGCTATCTCAGAAGATGTCTTGAGTTCAGCATAGTGTAAGACACTTGAACACAGAGTTGGCTCAACAAATATTTGCAGAGTGTTGCTGGAAGCACACACACCAGCCCCTCCCCACACATGCACAGTGGCTATTGAGTTCTATGTCATTCTCTGGAATGTGCTGACCTTCCTTCCTTGGGAAGAGGGCACACTGCAGAGTGTTAGTATTAGTAAGGCAGCTTTTGCTCTCATCTGTCAACACTTCCACACTCAGGAGCATTATGGAGCAATAACAACTGGAGGACCAGTGGCAGTAACACGACTGACCCTTTCCCTCTTGAAATCTCTTCTCCTGGCTACAGTCACCCCACACTTGTTCAGTTTGCCTCTTGCCTCTCTGGCCATTGTTCTGTTTCCTTTGCCGGTTCTTTATTTCGATCTTCATAAATAATTGATTGAGTTCTCAAAGTGTAGTCCTAGATCTTTTCCTGTCTTCTCCTTTATTTTTTCCTCTCCCTTTCTCCCCTTGTTCTTCTTTTCCTAAATTCATTGATTCTCATGGTTTCAATTACCACTATTTAGAAAAAACTCCTAAATTTCATTCTCTAGTCAGTACCTATTTTTGGACTGTAAATGCCCAAGTTCCATGTGCTGCTTGACATTTCCACTGGAAACCTCATGGTCTTCCGAAATTCAACACGCTCAACACAGAACGAACCTTCCCCTTCTCCACTGGGCCAACACATTCTTTCTCTAGAGTTTCTCATCTGAGCATGTCATCTACTTCATTTCCTGAGTCGACATTTGGGAATATTCTGATCACTTTCCCACATTCCCAACATTCAAATAGACAAACTCCTATCATGTATTTATTTGTTTCTCAAATTTCCACTCTGGTCTAACCATCCTTGTCTTTCTCCTTGTAGCTGCATAAGCCTCCTAACCAGTATCCCAGCAAAGATTATTTTTTTCTTATGTATTATTTATTCATTGACAGTATTGAGGTTTGGACACAGGACCTTGTGCTTGCTAGGCAAGTGCTCTATCATTTGAACCACATCTCTAGCTCCTGGTAAAAATTCTTGCATCTCTGTATCCCCCCACCTCAAAGTTCTTTCCTTAGAAGGCCTCCCTTCCCTCCCTTCCTCCTTCCTTCCCTCCTTCCCATTCTTCCTTCCTCATGATTTACATCCTTATTTGTGTTTCCTTATTTTAAAAGATCTTTTCAACTACGTATTTGGAAATAATTATAGCTTCATAGGGAACTGCAAAATGTATTACAGAGAGGTCCCATGTGCCCTTCATCCAAATTTTCCCCAATGGTTAACATCCTACATACCTATAGTACAATATCAAACCAGGAGATTGCCATTGACGCAATCATAGACCTTCTGCAGATTTTCTTGGTTCTGTGCTTGCACATGCACGTGCGTACACACGTGTCTGTGTATAGTTCTATGAAATCTTATCACATATGTAACCACCAGGATACAGAACTACTTCATCCCAAAGATCCTTCATGCTGCAGAATGCTCCTTTATCAGCCCAGTCATTCAGCCTCTACCTTGCTTAAAATCCTTAATGACTTTAAAGCCCAAATCCTTAAGCAAGGGCTGTAAGTGCCTGTGTAGTCTGGCTTCAGCTACCTCTCTGGCTGCCTCCTGCATACTTTAGGCGGCATACATCAAGCCTCAGCTCAATGACCTTTCTCTTCTTTTTAATTTACAAAGCTCTTTCACTGAAGGAGCTGTCTCCCTACTTGGATTCCCCCCCCCCGCCCACCCCAGCTAACTCCCTTTGTCTGTCAGGGATTGGCTTGGAGCTTTCCTAGGGAAGGTTTTCTTGACATCTCAGATGAGGTTAGTTCTCCTATTTGTTTTCATTGTCAATTATGCTTTTTCTTCATGGCACTAATGCACAATTGTAATAACAGATTTGTGTGGAGTTTATGACTTTGAGGTCCCTCTGGCTCAACTAGAAGGGGTTAGTGTGTGTTGCTTACTGCTGTATCTTTGTCTGGCAGAGTAGTTAAGTATTTCTTAGCAGGTGCTTAAGAAATACTTGCTGAGTTAATGAATACTTAATGTGAGTTGGCTGGTTGTGGCTGGGGTGTGGCCAGAGGCCAGGGAAGTTACAGTCACCTTTCCCAGATGGATATGTTCTCCATGACCTTGTCTTCATCCTAACAATGGAACCCTGTCAGAGAACCTAGACATTATGGCCCATGCAACCCGGAGTCCCCAGCTGAAAATTTCTCCCCTGATTCCCACCCAGACTTCTCTCTGAGAGGCTGGAGAGGGAGCAACCTGGCAAGTGTTCTTCTTAGACAACTTGTCTAAGAAGATATGATATGCTTTTCAGGATATCAGCTGGCTATTCACCCAGGATTTCCAAGTAAAGCTATTTGCCATGGTGTCATCGTGGGAGGGTATGGGAGTCTCTGAGTTGGATGGCACCAGAGAAGCCCTTGAAAAGCTTTTAGATAAGCCCTCTCCTTGATGCTCCCACTTATATTCCTAAGTGTCCCTACCCCACCATCCAGTCATTTCCACCCCCACTCTTATACTCTCAGAGATACCTTGGTATAGTTTGTATTTGTAGAGGCCAAAGTTTACTAGGTCCTTATGCTGATTGAATAGGCAGTATTTCACCCAAATGGACATGATGTGACCACTCTCTGAAGCTTTGAACGGGATGACATGGGGACTTTCTGCTGGGAAGTAGTGCCATGGGGTAGTGGTTCCATGCCACAGCCTATCTGCAGAGCACCCAGGTTTTGTGTGCTCTGGGCAGATTCTGATGTCATATTTCTCAGGACTGGGAAACCTGAGAACACTGGCTAGTTTCCCTTCCCTGTCATGTAGATGGCTACGGGTCTTCACATTTTACAGCTCACAGCTGTCTGCTTACCGTTGGTATCTCTGTTCAGGGTGAGTGATGGTTGAGCACATAGTCCAGATCAGCAGGCCAGGCCTCAGGTGTTTCTTTGAGGCTGTGTGCTCTAAGGTCACAGGGTACTATCCTGCCCCGATTTGGCTATTGTTTTGGCAATGATACTTGGGATGGAGGAGTGACAGTTTCTTTTAGGATACACCTGGCTGTTTGTTCTTTCTGCCAGTCCTTCTGATGTCCAAGAGACCGTTCAGGGCTTGGATTTTTGCTAGTCTCTTGCCTGTGAACATGGATATTCTACGTAACAGTGCAATGCCACTTACTGCCTTGAGCACATGCCTGGAACCTATGTGAGCCTTTTGACCTCCTCCCCTGTGTTCCAAGGCAGGGCTAACAGGAAGCCCAAGCTCAAAGTAGTTCTTGGGTGTTGCTTCTGGAACTGGGGCTTGGGAGGTAATACTGGTGCCTCTCACAGTGTAACCTTGTTCTCTGTGCTCTGCAATTTCCTTTTCAGCTCTCTCTGATCACCACTTTCTGCTCTCATCAGAGCATATGTAGGGGTGGGAGGATGTGGTTCTCAGGGTAAGGGGATTGAATGGCATCTACACTTGTTCTTGTCCTTGAGGCTCAATCTGACACGACTGGTGGTGATGGTGAGGAGTCTGAATAGGGCTCTATCCAGGCCCCTGTTGGTTTCCCAGCCTCAATCCATGCTGGCACAGATGTGACTTGGATTAATTGTCAAGGGAGACAGTCCGGATCCTCTGGCCCTAATAGTGCTGCTTCTGGCTTCCTTCAGGTCACCCAACCTGCCTGCAGTTCACCTTGAACATGACCGAGGCCGTCAAGACCTACAAGTGGCAGTGCATAGAGTGCAAATCCTGCATCCTCTGTGGGACCTCGGAGAACGATGTGAGTTTGGGGCTTTCCTTGTGGGAGGGGGAACCCAAGGAGCTAGAAGTCCTCTGGGGAGTGAAGAGGAAGGCAGGACTCTTGGCACTCGGTTCCTGGGAAAATGTCGCTCAATTTTTTTCATCTCCACCACTCTTGGGATCCTTGTGCTTTGGGGACCATGGGTACCTTTTATGCTGTGGAGAGAGATGCACAAGTGCCTGGCAGGGGCTGCATTTATGGCCTTTGCTCTTTATCCTGACACTTGCGAACACCTAATCATTAGCCCTCAAAGGTTCAGAGACTGGAGGTGGTAACCATGACACTTATGGTTGGGATGTACTTGGCTGTGTCTACCACATTCCACATCTATGATCTCATTTCACCTACATGTTAAATATGATAAATGCAGAACCTTCAAACACTTTTTGATATGGAAACTTTCAAACATATACAAAAGTAGAGAAAATGAAACTGATATACTCCATCACTAGCTTCAACAATGGTCAATATATGCCCAATCTTGTTTCTTAAATACTATTACTTTCTCCTTCTTAATCCTGGTCATAGTATCATTCTACCTATAAATTTTCATATGTATCTGAAAAAGGCAAGGACTTATTTTTTAACCAAAATATTAATGCAGCTAGAAATCAATAATTCCTTAATATCATCAAATGTCTAATAATGACTCCTATTTTCTCAACTGTCTTAGAAATGTTTTTATTTGAATTAGGAACCAATTAAGGCCCATATATTACAGTTAGTTGATATGTCTTTGAAGTTTCTTTTAATATGCATGAATCTTTCTTTCCATTTCCCCCTAAATTCTGTGTGGAAGTAATCAGATCATTTGTTCAGTAGAGTTCCTATGACTGTATTTTACTGAATGCATCCTTGTGGGGCTGTTTGCTATTTCTCCTTGTCTCTTGTATTTCTTGTAAATTGGAAGTTAAGCTAGAGGCTTGACTTAGGTTATCTCTGTCTTTTCTCTCCCCTCACTGTCTCTATGTCGGTCCCTGTTTCTTTTCTGGAAAGACTGCTTTATAGGTGGTGGTGTATCTTTAATCAGGAGGTCTACAATGCCTGGTGCATCTCTCTTTGTGAGAGTGCATCTATTGATGGTCTTCAGTTAGATCAACTATTTCATTAGGGGTTGCAAAATAGTGCTACTCTTATTTGATAATTACGTCTTTGTTTATTAGCTGGAGTAATTCTATAGAGAGAAACTTGCGTAAGCTCAGGTGTAGATCATATAGAAAAGGCAGGATAAATGCTTGCTTCTTTCCCTTTATCAGTTTTTAAAATAACATGGCAGTTAAAATACTTATTCATGATTAAAAAGAAAACAGTCAAAACAGGAATTATAGGATATCTTCTTAAAAATGAGAAAACATTTATACCTTAGAACTAAAGCCAGAGTCTTTTTTTTTTTTTGGCAGTACTGGGATTTGAACTCAGGGTCTCATCCTTTCAAGGCAGGTGCTGCACCACTTGAGCCACTCTGCCAGCATATTTTATGTTGGGTATTTTTTAAGATAAGGTCTCATTAACTATTTCCCTTGGGCTGGCTTCGAATCACCTCCTGATCTCTGCCTCCTGAGTAGCTATAATTACAGGTGTGAGCCACTGGCATCTGGCTAACTCCAGAATCTTATTTAATGAGGAAATGTTAGGAACCAGATAAGGACACTCACTATACTACTACCATTATACATTATTCTAGAGACACTAGCCAACACCATTAGATAGGAGCAATCAATAAGAAGCATAAGAACAGATAAAATATAGGTTGAGCATTGCTAATCCTAAAATCTAAAATGCTCCAAAAGCTGAAACTTTTTGAGTACCAACATTATATCATAAGTGGAAAATTCTATACCTCAAAACTTTGTTTCATGTGTAAATTGAATAAAATTACCTTCAGGCTATGTATATAAGGCATACATGAAACATAAATGAATTTTGTCTTTATATTTTGGTTTCATCCCCATTATGTGTTTTCATCATGTAAATATAAATATTCTAAAATGTGAAAAAAAACCCAAATCTGAAAAAAATTGAAAATATGAAACACCTCTGGTCTCAAGCATTTCAAATAAGGGCTACTCAATCTGTAGCTACAGGATATCTGAAGAACCTTCGCGAATCAATGATAGTGCTAGCTCAAGCATAAAAGGTAACAGGTATCAATTAACATATAACTAATAGCCGTCATATACACAAGCAATACCCAGTTAGAAAGCATAATTCCATTTATAATGGAATTATAAATACTTATACATTCCTAAGAAATGCATACAAACGTACTTAACAACAAATTTGCAAAATGTATATGAAGAAAAGTTCTAAAAATGTTTGAAAATATATAAGGAACAAATAGAAAGATGTCCTATGATCTTGGATAGAACAACTCAACACTATAGACATGGCAGTTCTGCCTAAGTTATTTTGCAAGTTTATTTCAGGTCCAATAAAAATATCACAAACTTTTTAATGGAATTAGACAAATTGATACTCCAATTCACATGGAAAAAGAAACATGCAAGAACAACCAAGAAAGTACTATAAATTGTGATGGAAATAGGTGCCACCAGACATTGAAACTTTCTAGGGAAGCCTCTACAGTTGAAAAAGTGTGATACTGAAGCATGAGTAGGCAGATAAACCAGTTGGAATGGAATAGAAAGCCCATAAATAGACCCACCTACATAAGGAAAGACAGTATAGGATAAAGGTTGCATCTAAAATTATTGTGTCAAAGATGGACTTTTAAATGAATGGTGCTAGTACAATGGGGGAGTCACTTGGGAAAAGGCAAAATTAGATTCATATCTCACACTAGACATAAGAACAATGTCCAAATAGACAGGACACCTAAATGTAAAAAAGTTAAGCCATACCAGTACTAGAAGAAAATGTATGAATTACTCTTTAATCTAAATATAAGGAAAGTTTTCTAACTGTGACTCAAAATTTAGAAACATTGAAATAAGCTATTGAAAAATTCGACTCTAAATATTTGCATAGTCAAAAAATGTGATAAAGTCAAAACATTACCTGGGAGAAAGTACTTGCAGCATATACCATAGATAAAGGGCTAATGTCCCTACCTACTAGAGAAAGAACTCTTAAAAATGAGGGACAAAAAAAATGAAGGACAAAGAACCACAAACTTGATAGAAAATGAAAAAAATGTGTAAAGGATGAGTCACAGAAGATATAAAAATGAGTCTTAAACATGTGAAATGAATGTTCAAATGCATTCATAGTTAAACTCAAAACAAAGCAAAGTCCCCATTTTTTTTACCTATCCAATGGGCAAAAATCAAAGGTATGACAATATATTCTGTTGGTGAAACAATGGGGAAATTGGCACCTTTATATATTGTTGGAAGACATATACAGTGGTGTGACCTGTCTGGAGAGAAATAGCAATGCATAATAAAACTACTCTGTACTTAACTTCTGACTCAGCAATCCCATCTATAGGAATCTACCCTGAAAATCCCCCAACACTACAGAAATACAGATGCATAGGGTTATTTATGGTAGCATAATTACAAAATATTGGAAACAACCTCAATATCCACACATAGAAGAATGATTGAATAAACAATGGCACAGCCACACAAAAAAAGTATTATGTGCCTTAAAGAATAAGGACGATATCTATGAATTGATAGGTACTCATTCTATGATATATTGTTAAATGAAAATTCAAAGTAAAGTATAACGTCTACCTATATCATGCTGCCTTTTAAAAAAGAGATGTAAGAAAATTGACATCTATGCACTTGTATAAAAGAAATAAAGAAAGAATAAACTGGAAGTGAATAAAAGAGGTTTTCTATAGGGGTGGGAGGGAATGGGGTACAGGAAGAATGGTGATATGGAAATGAAGTCATATGGAAGGATAAGGGATGCGCATTTCTTTGATAATACCTTCTTGTATAGCTCTGACTTTCAGAATTAAGATAAGGCTGCAAATAACCCCCAAACAGATATATAGTCAACCAGGATGTGGTGAAAACCTTAGATGGAATATAAACAGTAACAAATTAACCTAACTATAATATAAATGAACAACATAACCATACTGAAGAGTGGGAGGAAAAGAACTAGCTTAAGTAATTTTGGAAAAGAGTATTTTTGATGATGAACTAGAAGGTTAAACACAAAAATATCTGCACCAAAAATATTACACTCTAGTTTGTACGTTTGCTTTCATAAGTATATGGATTTGTGATTCTGAGACTACTTTACATGTGTGGTAGGTTTGCACTAATAACTGTATATTGTGACGAATGTAAGGTTTCTCAATGTCAGAAAAAAAGAATAACCTCATAAAGGGGGACGGGACTGGCTAGAGGATATCAGTATGATTTCATGGTTTTTAATGTAACATGTGAAATATATCTAGCTATTTGTGTGTATATACACATTGGATAGATACAGAAATACATTTAGATGTACGCATGTGACCGACACATACATTTAATTCCTAGATCAGTTGCCAACGAGGAATGTTTTCGTCAACTTTGCATTATGACAAAATACCTGAGCTAGGTAATCCATAAACAGAAAAGATTTATTTAGTTCATGGTTCTGGAGGTCCCATTGTTTTGGGTTTCTGTGAGGGCACTTGTTGGCAATGCCAAGGAGTCCCTGTTGGAGTAAACTGCTTAGATCATGAACTAGGAGGCAGAGAGAGAGAGAGAGAGAGAGAGAGAGAGAGTGCAGAGGATACCGGGGTCTCATAATCCCTTTCAAGAGTGTGCCTGCAATGTCCTAAGTACCTCCCACTTGGTGCTACCTCCCAAAGGTCCACGGCACCTCCCAGTACTACCACCCTGGGGACCAAGCCTTTAACACATAGACTTCTGGGGAACATTATCCGTATTCAAACCACAGCAAGAACCTGGAAACAAAGAGGATATATAGCATCTAGATATTCCTTTTACCCATTCTCTAAAGAAAGGAACTTGGAGAAATGACTGGTTTCCAGGGCTGGGACACAAAGTGTACAGGATGAGCCTGGATGATCTTGTGGTACCAGAAGGTAAGGCAATGTTCCAAAAATGATAGGGCTTGTCTAAAGGACACAGGAGCCAATCTGAAAGAGTTCCTGGTGGCCAAAACCAGGAAAAATTAAGAAAATAGATAATGTTTTTGGATTATGGCTTAAAAATAAAATAAAAATTCATACTTACATAAAAAATTGAGTTGGTAAAAAAATAAGTAAATTAAAAAGGGAGAAAGTAAGTTCTTCTTTAGAGCAGAATTCTTTAGAACGAAGAGGGAACTCACCATTAGGCAAACGTCATAGGATTGTTATAAGCAAGGACTTAATCCCTACAAAAATCAGTGGGCAAAAGTATGATGGGAAATAAGATATTTGCATAATCTAAAAATATCTTTCCAACAAGATTACTTACTAACATATTGTAAAGGGGAAAATAGTTCTTTTACAGAGGGAAAACTGTCCCCCACTGCTTTAACTGTATAGTCACAACTATATTATTCGTAATGAGACAAACCAGCATCAATGTCCCCTGATGTGTGCCCTGAGAAGGGTATGACATAACTTTAGTGAGATTCTTGCCAAAAACCACGCACACTTCAGTCTTCTTATGAGAAAAGATCCAGCTCAAACTGAGTAACATTTATGAAATCGCTGACTTACACCTTTCATAAGTGTCAAGGTTATGAAAGACAAAGAATCGGAGGAACTGTCACAGATCGAAGGACAATAAAAACACAGGTACGTGCTACATGGGGTCTGAGGAAAATGGCCCTAACTAAGAAAACTGGCGATGTTAAAATAATTTCTGTAGATTAGTTAACAGTGTCTTGCCAATGGTAATTTCCTGATTCATGATTTATTTTGTTGTTCTGGGGATTGAACCAAGGGCTTTAAGCTTTCCAGACACATGCATTGCCACTTAAACCATGCCTCAGCTTTTTTGTTTTTATTTTGTTTTGAGATAGGGCCTTTCTAACCTTTGCCCTGGTTGGCCTCAACCTTGTGATCCTCCTGCCTCTGCCTCCTGAGTAGCTGGGATAACAGGTGTGTGCCACTATGCCTGGATCCTGCTTTATGGTTCTACTATGGTAATGAAAGATGTTAATATCATGGAAAACCAAGTAAAGTGTATACAGAAACTCTCTGTACCATTTTTGCAAATTTTCTTTAAAATTATTTCTAAGCAAATAAAAAATAGTATGATGTCTCCCTAACATCTTCTTAAGGTAACTAAGTTTTTTAAAATTACTGTCTTTATGAACTCATCTTTAAATATATTTTATTTGTTTTAATCCATTACAGTTAAAATGGTCCCATCTTTGGCCAATAGAGACATATTCAAGCTGGAATCTAGTCCTTATGACATGATCCTAATGGCATTTGATGGTTTCCTCGCTTCCTAATATGTAAAGATAGGTGCCAGACCTGGAATTACCTGTTTCTATAAAGACTCCTGGCCCTTTCAGTGGGCAGTGGTGTGTGTGTGTGTGTGTGTGTGTGTATGTGTGTGTGTGTTACTGGAGTTTGAACTTAGGGCATAATGCTCACTAGTCAGGTACTCTACTACTTCAGCCACTCTGCCAGTCCCTAATGGTCTTTAGAGAACATAATATAGATGCTAGAGGTGCTAAGTTTTATTGTATTTGTCACTGTTTCGAGATATTTCCAATTGACAGAACTATAAAAATTTTGTGTGTTTTAATATGATTTTGTACTAATTCCTCCAATTTATATCTAGGACTAGCTACAGAGTTTTTTAACTTGACCTCCTTGATCTTGCATCTGTATGTTTGTTTAGTCATGTAAAAAAATTCTTGATTCTCAATGATACCAACATAATCACTCATTTGATACACATACAACAATGTCAATATTCTAATTCCAGTATGATCACCCACAATATAATTGCTGAAAAAAATGTGCATATTTGCATTTATTTTTGTCTTTAAGATATATTCTACTAAGGAAGTACAGTCAAATTTCTTATTTTAAAGTCACTAGAAATAGTTTCTGTCTGTGTGGTTATGCTATCAGCTCAATACACAATTATATTCATTTATGTTATTTTTTTGTTTTGTTTGTTTTATGGGAAATATTACAATTTTAATTTTGTTTCCTGCTTATGCAAAACAGTTACTGGTTCTATAATCAAGTCTATAAAGAAATACTATATTCAAGAAAATCTAGCTTCTATCCTTACTCCACATTATTCTTTCACTCTGCTTATGGGTGAACATTTGGAAAAAAATGTGTGGCTTATCTTTCCATTTTGTTTAAATGTTAGCATATGTGTTATACATAGGAATCCATGAGAAAAAAACTAAGATACATATATGTTTTTTTTCCCACCTTTTCCCACTGAATATCTTTAGATTATTCTAGAGCAATCTACAGACATATTCTTCATTCCTACCCACAGCTCCATGGTTCTTCATTAGCTTATTCAGCAGTCCCTTATCAGCAGGCATTTAGTTGAATCTGATCCTTGACTTTACAAATAGTGTTAGTGAAGAGTTTTGTTGACATGGCAGAGCCTTAGTGTAGGAGTCAGGGGATGAGTCTAGTGTTGGGAGATTGCTTGGGTATTTGGATCTCTTTTACATGGTCAGAAATTCCCTGTGTACCCCAAGATGAGATTCCCATTTTAGTGACTCTGTAGCATAGGTGGATTCTGGTTCTTGATACATGGGAGTAAGGGGTTTTTAAATTGTGTTTCTCATAGGAGTTAGCATGAGCTGAGGGTTCTTGGTGGTTTCAACAGGCAATTTTTCTGAAAAGCTAATGGAAAAGAAGGGAAAATCGTGCTAGACAATGATCAACTGATGAAAAATGCATTAAAACTCTAGATGTTTGGTTTTCCCTTGGGAAAGTCCAATCCAGAGTTTTCTACCTTCTTGTAGTTCTCATGTCATCACTATAGTAGCGATTGTTAATGTCTTTAGAACATTAGTAATATGGTTTCTAACAAGTTCTCTCCGCTTTCTGTCCCCATCCTAACTTGCTTCTCTTGGTGTTATTGCTAAATCATCTGTGTCATAGTTTACTTCAGTTCTGACATGATGATATAACTTTCGGGGGGGTACACCTCAGTGTACTGGTTGTCATCCTGCTTCCCTGACTGTGCATCTTAATCTCTTTGTTCTCTACCTGTCCCTTAAAGTTGTTGTTCCTCAAGGACCTGTTCTTGGCCTTCCCAGTAACCTCTTTTGGGTCCTTGATCTTTCAGGGAATTCAATGAAAGCTATAGATTTACTCTTTGCTCGGAAAATGAACAAAATTGTGTATATTATTTCAAGGGGATCAAGGATACCCCTCCATGAGCACACGTTCAAAGACATCTTGCTGCCACACTCTGGGCCTCTTCTCCTAGGACCTTCATTTGCCATCTACTCACCAATGACTTTCAAATCCATACTTTAGGCCCAGATCTCTCTCCTGATCTCTGGCTGCCCCAGACCATCTGTACCAGGTGGTCTGTAGATCTGTGGAACATGTCTACAGCTGAGGTTCCCCCACCCACATGGCTTCACTCTCCTGCCCATGTCTCACTGGTTGGCTGCACTATCTGGCTTGCTGACCAAGCCACAACCCAGACGCCATCTTGGATTTCTACCCTCTCATTCTTCGTATCTAATCAATGACTCATAAGTAGGAGCAAGCCTGTTTCTCTCCCCTCACAAGTTTACTTCAGACCATCATATCTTACCTGTGTTGCTATGGCAGCCTCGTAACTGGTCTCTGGAACCAACCTCTCCTATTATCTCACCTGGGATCCAGCCCTCAGCCTGTGAGGAAGCTTTTGAAATCAAAGGATGCCACTACTTGCTTCTGTCTACATGTACATCATGAAACCCTGAAGAGTTTCCACGGAGTCAATGGATGTTACTGCCTAGTATAGCTGATTCCCATTCCAGATAGAAAGAGTAGAGTTCAGAGGAATTCAATTAAAATTTTAAAATATTTAAAGTACACTAGGCAATCATAGGAGGAAGAGAGAAAGGCATAACATCGGTTTTCTGCTTTTGGAAGCAGTTATTGGCTGTGAGTTCAGAAGAACAAGGAATCCCTATAAGCTTGGATATGAGGTGGTAGCCAAAGATGGCTTCTTATGCAAGGTTCTAGAATGGGCTAGGATTTGTGTAGTTTTCAAGGCAAAGGGGGAAATCCCAGGTGTGGGCCAAGTACAAGCCATGTCAGGGGATGATGAGGATTTCAAATGTGGCCTGGAAAAAGGTATTGGGGGGGTAGTCAACCTATGGAAATAAGACTAGAGAACAGATATTGTCCCTAGATAATTGAATTTCTCTCGCCCCACCTCTACCTGCTCTGTATCCCACCAGGACCAGCTACTCTTCTGTGATGACTGTGACCGTGGCTATCACATGTACTGTTTAAATCCCCCAGTGGCTGAGCCCCCAGAAGGTAATGACGATGAGGTCAACAATAACAACAACAACAGCTACTACTTCTACCTCTTATTGAGCCCTCACTATGGTGCAGACCTTGTGCTAAGGGCTTTTCATATCTTGTCTCATTTAATCATCACAACCCTATGAGGTAGGTACAACTACAACCATATTACACATGAAGAAACTGAGGCACAGTTCAACCAGCTGAAATTTCAACTTGAGGGCCAAGGAGCTGTTTCTTAGACATGTGGCTGAGATGGTGGGGAGGTGCGGGCTTCCAGAGAACTAGCCCAGGTCTTGTGAGGCTGGTTAAGAGGCATGACCAAGGAGCAGGGTTCTTTACAACAGTTCATCTGATCAGCTCTGAGCATTTACTTTCTGCTGAGTGACAGTTTCCAGCCATGTCTTCAGGACTTCATGGTCTCTGAATTATGAAAGTCAAAAGGAAATAGGCTTTGTAAGATGTTAGAGCCACTGGGCTGGGGCTCAAGAGTTAGAGGGGCTGCTACTAACGCCATCTTGTCTCTTGTAGGAAGCTGGAGCTGCCACTTATGCTGGGAACTGCTCAAAGAGAAAGCCTCAGCCTTTGGCTGCCAGGCCTAGGGCCCCAGGTCACAGAATGTGACTTGCTGCTGGAGAGGCTAAACCAGAGCCCAGTTCAAATCAGATGGAACCCTTCTCCCACACATCCACACAGACCAACTGTAAGAAAACGAATAGTTACAGAAGGTCATGGACATGTGCAACCAAGAGGGCAAGCTATCTACTTACCTCCCACCCCACATAGGGTACCTCAGCCAGCACTTCCTTGTGTTTACCAGAAGGATCTTGCACTTTTGAAGAACAACCCCGGCCCCAGCCCTGGGGAATCCCTCTCACTTTTACCCTAGCACTACAATTCTCTCACTAATTCCCATTTCAAGGGAAACCATTTTGTGAACACTCATTGATCACGTGTGTATAGTTTGGTGATTTTTTTTTTTAATCTAATATATTCTAAGAAATCGTCACACAGCCTCCTTACTCAGCTTAGACTCTTCATCTTGAACTCTCACCAGAGGAACAAAGTGCCGTGGAGAAGTTGTTGTTTATTACAAGCCTCACTGGAAACTTCTAGGCTTGGATCCTGAAGGCCATCTTGAAGACGGAGCCTTGAAATCTCTTCTTGTTCCTTGGTCTCTGAGAAGAGGAAAACCTCAGCAGTGACATCCACAGCTGGAGTCATCCTGATATACTGAGTTGCCACTTGATGGGGGGTGGGGAAGGACTGAGAGATGGGAGAAAGCATTGGGAATAATACTAAAGTCCTACCATGACCAGGCAGTATCTGTTATTCACCAGGAGAGACTTCGCAAGGGATCAGGCTGGCTCCCTGACATTCGAGCTGAGGCAACCTTGAGGTAGGACAATCCAGTCTAGGGACAGAGGAAGGTGCTCAAGACTGTGCCTCTTAACCCCTCTGGGTGTGGGGGCCTGGCTGAGCTCGCCCTGGTGGGACACAGGCACCAGGAAGGCAAGTGGATGTTCCCCAGTCAAGTGTCCAAAGGTTGGATACAAGAGACTGCAGCTTTGAGAAACCTTTCAGTATTGGCGTGACCTTTGAATTCCTTTCGCAAGCAGTTCCTTCCTTCCATATGGTTATGTTTGCCATTGGCTACTGAGACCTGACTGGAAATTTTAGGATGGAGGAGAGAGGATTGATGTGATTATTTGTGATTAGGTGGCAATGGTTCAGAACCCAGTGCTCATGGGCTGTTCTTATTTCCAATCTCCCCAAAATGAGCTGGACTCTTTTGTGGTTTTTTTTTTTTTTTTTTCCTCTTTCTCTCTCTCTCTCTCTGTTTTTGTAATGTTTCTAGAAGAAAAAGGTAGGGAGGCCTAGATTCCAAGAACTCTGTTGGAAGACAGCCCTGTGGGCTGGAGTGGATTGGACTGTCTTTGAATCCCAGCAACAGCACAATAACTGACATATTTCTGGAAAAATCATTTGCCCAAAGGGCAGGTCTCGGTGAGCAGGACCCTCACGCATGCTCGGCCTTCGCTCTGTGGTCCAGCAGCTTACAACAAAGGCCTGGGTTATTTTTAGTCCTTTAGCTCCTGAAGAAGCTCTCCTCCCCAACCCTAGACTTGGCTAGTTGGGCCACTTCTGCCCACTGCAGTGTTTGCTCTGAGACTCGGCAGGAGCCTTCCTCCCCCTGGCTAATTGCTCTTGGCTAGTGGAGCCAGGGCAGCTTGGCATGGAGCCAAGCAGTGTGGGTCTCCCCCACTCCTTTGCAGAGTGACCTATGGTGAGAGAATGGGGGTCACTCTCCTGCAGGCCCTGTGGCCTTAGAGTGAGTTACATGCATACATAATTGTCTCATTTAAAGGGCCCTTGTCCAGATGGGGTTTTCATCTTCCTTGTAAGCTGTTTGCTTCTTCCTCCTGGCTACTGAGCCCATCTGGAATCTGAAGTCCAAGGGAGGGTTAGGAGGGGCTCATCCATCACAGAGGGGCACATTTCTTCTCCTGACCACCCTGGCTCTCTCTCCTTACACAAAACCCAACACAGGCTGTCTTCAAAGGCTACTTATTGATTGTGAGATTCATTTAAAATTAATTTTAGAAAAAAATATCCCCCAATTTTTCCAAATGGAAAAGCAAATCTGAAAGCAAAAGTTGTGACTATACAACTTGACAGGTCTCCATTTGGAGCAGGTGCAAATCTGTTCCTCCACAGAAAGCAGATGAAGGGGTGCCATGTTTTCTGTCCAACTATGTCTGCTCTGCTCACAGAGGATGAGGGTGGATGAGCCTTCCAAGCCAAGGTAGGGGGCTGGAGCTTGCCCACAGTGCTGGGGCTGGTCAGCATTCTGGGATGGTATTAGGAAGCCCCCAGGGTTCCTCTCTCAGTTTCATTACTTCTACAGAATGAGCCCAGCCCTTCCTCCCTGGAGGCCTTAGTGTCCCCATCTAGAAAGTGGGACTGCAAAGCAGCTTATGGAGTGGCACTATTGGGGTGCTGTACTCAGACAAAATCTCTAGAGTTACACTTGCCTCCTTCTGTGTTGGAAAAAGGAAAGTGTTGATTAACTTCAAATTGGTCTCTTTCTTTGGGCCCCTGAGAACCAGCTAGAATCATAGAGTACATTTGACCTCTGCCATTGAGGGCAAATCAGTTAACAACCCCAAACCTCAGTTTGCCCACCTGTAAAATGGGATGGTAATACTTGCCCTGCCTATTCCACAGTGACATGGGGGTCTTGAAAAGCATCACGATACACAAACAACCACTGCAGAGTTCAGCTTGCCTCGGGGGGGGGGTACCCCAAATGCTTTTCATGTCTGCTATCTTGTGTGACAAAGTTAGATGCATTCTTGGAATCTCCCTCTGATCAAAGGGGTTTCAAGGGTCAGTCCGCCTGTGGTCAGGATCAATGGGCCAGGGCTGTGACCATGGAGACTGAGACTGGGCATGGGCTGTGGGGAGGTTGGGGATTTACCATAGGAACTTCAGGATGAAGATACTCCCAAAACCCCCTTCTACAAGGCTAACTAGTTTGGTCTGGAGAACTAACTTCTGTCCAGGGCGTAATTCAGGTGAAACACCCACTTTTACATTGGTTTAAATACAGCTCTACCACTTTCTAGCTGGTTGACCTTGGGCAAGTGACTTTGCTTCTCTGAGCCTCATTGCCCACATATGTAAGGTAGGGCAATATGGCCAACCAGGTCACTGCAGGGATTAGAGCAGTGCTGGTGAAGGCCCTGGCTTGTCTCCGATACAATGAAGGTTCCTACTCTGTGGTTGGTAGCTCTTGTCACTTTATGCAGAGGCCACCAAATGAAGATAATGATGCTGTTGTCACCAAGATCAAGTCTCCAGCACAGCCTGGGACAGGCCCTGTCTTCAAGCCCCAGGATGCCAACAGCTGAGAAGTAAGGAGGGAGGGCCTGGCCAGTCCTGTTCCCACCAACTGGTGGGTGAACTCGACTCCTTTGTTCTCCACTGTGTGTTACGCTTTTTGGAATCTTACTCCCACCCAAAGGATACTTTGGGTTTTCAGGTGAGCCCAGTTCCACCTTTGTTTCTACCTTTGTTCCACTTCACCTCTATGCCATGGCTACCACAGAGAGGTGAGGCTGTAGGATCCTGACAGGAAGATGGAGTACTTTTTCTTCCTGACATTTTTGAAACACTATTTTTTGGGCCAATAGCAAATCCAGGGTGGGCAACTCTGTGAGGAAGCAGGAGTAAGGCCCCTGCTGGGAGATTGACATCCTGGTCTGCTTCTCAGCCCACACTGACTCATAGTACCTGAGGCAGGAACTAGCATGTCCCAAGGCTCTTCTGTTCTGTTGTTGCCCAAGGGCCAGGTTGGAAGCCCAGGGAGGCTGTGGAGACAAGCTCAGAGCGTGTAGGTAGGTGGGTGAGACACAGAGAGACCAGATTCATTCAGAGCTGGGGAAGATGGCAGGTTTTGCTGTGAGGGAGGGTCTGGATTTCACAGTGAAGGTTTCAGGATCCCCAGAGAGTTCACTTTTATCTTTGATATAGCACGATTCGTTCCAGCTCTCCCCTTAATAAGCGTGGATATTTTAAGGAAGCAAAATGACATGATTGTTATTACTCTTCCTTTGGGGGCAAGTTTAGGGGACCTATGCTCCTCTGTGGTGTTGAAGAACGATCACTGGCAACCTCAGTCTCCAGGATGCAGAGCAGAGGGACAGTGCTTCATTGCTAACCCAGGGCAGTGGTCTGAGACCACCTTGCTGGCCCCAGGCAGCCTTCCAGATGCTTTGGAAGTACTGAGATGACAGTGTCCATCTTTCCTCTCCCACTACCCAAATGCCCACCTCTGATCCTTCTTTGGGAGTCCCAAAGTCACAGCTTAGGGAGAATTTGACTTCCCAGGCCAAAGCCACACTCACACTCCTGCTGAACATGCAGTGTGTCTCAGGCCTGGCTTCTTACAAGAGCAGTGTACTGGTGTCTTTTTTTAGTAGGCTGGCATCTCTGGAGAGGGATAAGAAGTCCGGGGAAGTGGAGAAGGGCCAGAGTCCGAGACAGAAGGTGGGACATGGTGGGGGTGGGGGTCTGGTTTCCTTAGGGGAGAAAAATCCAGGAGCTAAGTAACTAGAGGGTGTGGGGGTAGGAATGGAGAATTATCATAACCTCCCCCCGCCCCCTGAGGCCTATGACCTTACATGACAAGATTGTTTAAAAAAGAGAAAAGGGCCAAACCTTTGCCCAGTTCTGGACACTGAGTCAGATCTCCCTTTCTTGAGGCCCCTATTGGTTGGGGACCCTTTAGAGGGCAAGGCAGTCAGTAGCAGCACCCTTCCCAGCTGGAGGTGGGAGGAACCCTCAGGCTCTTGACTGGCTCTCAGTGAATTTTCTCGCTCCCACAGACAAGTGTCCTTCTAACTCTGAGAGAAGCTGATGAGGTCTCTTTGATCTGGACTGGCTGAGTTAGGGGAACAGATGGCAGCAGCCTTAAGGAGCAGAGGAATTCCAGGCAAGACTGCCAGAGAGTTTAAGCTCAGTAGGCCCTGTCCGCAAGCCCCAAATGCCAGCAGCCGGGAAGGGAGGAGGGAGGGCCTGCCCTGTCCTGTCCTCACCACCCGGCGGGGTGGACGTAGCTCCTCTGTCTTTGGAATCCTACTCCCCCACCCCAAGGATGCTTTGGGTTTTCACAGGAGTCCAGTTCCACCTGCATACCAGGTGAAGACTGGGGAGGATGGTAGAAGGACCTGCAAGTCTCCTTACCCAAGCCCAGCCATTTTGGGTCTAATTTCTCTGGAGTCAGAGGAAGGCTCTGTAGTGATCTGTGAGACAGGTTGCTTCCCGTGTTCTGAGCACTCCCAGAACTTGGAGTCAGTATAGTTTTCTACTAAAGGCCATTGCTACCTGCTTTGAATGTGGGAATGGCCAAGCAGGTGGGTTGGTTCAGGGTCTAGGGGCCCTTTAAGAGCCAGGAATTATTTCTAAGGAGGCTGAAGACCCTCTGATCTAGCTGCAGGGAAACTAGAAGGAGAAAGAGAGGAGGAGAGGAGCACCCTGGGTGTGGGAGGGTGAATAGAGATCCCCCTTTGAGCATCTCAGCAGCTGCTCCTGGGAAGGTTTGGGTGTGAGGGTCCTTCTTCATGCTTCCAGCCCAGGCTGCTGGGGGGAGAGGCCTAAAGGAAGTGCCTTCAGGAAGTCCTGGGGGACTAGGGGCCCTAGTTTGCCAGTTCTGAATCTAGAGAGTCTCCTAGAAGGAACAGAGGACTCCCCA